ATAAACCCTAACACTGGGCACATCCTGTGATATAGCCCACACGCTCACACATGTTCACTGGGAGATGTGTACAAGGACATTCAGAGCAGGACCATTAATAATAGCAAAAACTATGAAACAACCCAAAGGTCATCAACAGATGATTAGGTAACTAATCACATGATGCAATAGTAGACAGCTGTGAGAGGCCAGAACGGAGGCCGCACACACCAACAGGGATGACTCCCTGCCATTCACACTGCCTGAGAAAAATGAGTGGTGGTGTGGGGGGGCCTCCCTGGTGGTGCAAAGTCTCAGCCCTATCAAGCTATTGATCCCAGCCAGGAAGCTATTGCTTCCCCAGATGGCACGCAGACCTCTCCTGTCTTCCTGCTGCTCCCCTCAACAGTGTATTTCATTAGATCTGCCTGTTCTGCTCCCCATTCTGTCTCTGGTGAATCCTTTCACCCCCTCACCTCTGACCTAAACCCCAGTTCTTGTATGTGTAAATAAATAAAAAATAAAATAAAATCTTTTAAAAAAAAAAAAGAAAAACGCGTGATGGAAAATTGCAGTGTATGATCCTGTATATATATATATATCAATAAATCAAGTAAAATTAAGCAATAGAGCATTTAAGGATGCATAGGTGTTCAAATACAGAGATACAGTCACACATCAGACACATTTAAATACTTTCTATGCTCACAGCTCTGACTGCAGTTTCGAGATATTCCGCCAGAGGTCGCCAAGATTCCAGCCTCCACGGCCCTCGGGATGAAGCTCTGGTTTCTCGCCAGCGCTGGCGCAATCCCTGATGTTCCCGGCAGGGGGCGCCAGTAACCGGAGGCAGACTGGAACGTCCAGGGCGCTCACGTTTGCTGAGTTTTGTGAGCGAGCTCAGCCACCTTGGACCACCCAACCCTTTCCTGCTGCTGGGTCTCAAACTGTTTAATCAAAATAGACACAACCCGGGTCTCAAATTGAAGAAATGAAAAGCACCCGTAGGCACGACTCTCTTCTGCCTTCTGCAGCGGGCCTTCAAGCTTGGAGCCTGCTGCATTCCTCTGAGTGCCCAGGAGGAACCTAGGATTTTGCAATCTAGGCCCAGGGCTTTTGCAAATTTTACAAAAACACACATACCAAAAAATAGGAACATGTTTTTCGGCCTCTCCAAATAAAGAGCCTTCAAGTTTAAACTTCACTAATTTTTTTTTTTTTTAAGATTTATTTATTTATTTATACAAGCACTGGGTACAGTCAGAAGCGCGGGAGGGTGAGAGAATTCACCAGAGCCAGAGCAGGGAGCAGAACAGGCAGAAGGACCGAAGTACACTGCTGAGGGGAGCAGCGGGCGGCAGGAGAGGTCTGCGCGCCATGCAGGACCCTCCTCCGGAGGCCGGGGAGCAGCCGGGGATCGAACCGGCGCCACAGAGGCTGCGGCCAACTTCGCAACCCAGTGCTCAACCGCTGCGCCACCGGGGAGGCCCTAAACTTCAATAATTTTTAAAAGATTTAAAATTAGGGCCCTCCCTGTAGGAGCAGGGGTTAAAGATAGCTATCAAGCTTTTGTCAGCCACTACAGCAACAGTTTTGATCCCTAGCCAGGGAGCTGACCCCCATGGCGCATCAGACCTCTCCTGTCTCACTGGCTGCTCCCCTCACCAGTGTATTTCAGTAGATCTGCCTGTTCTGCTCCCCACACTCTCTGGTGAATCCTCTCACCGCCCCCCACCACCACCTCTGGCTTACACCCCAGTTCTTGTACGTATAAACAAATAAATCTTTTTTTTTTTTTAAAGATTTATTTATTTTACAAGCACCGGGTACAGTCAGAAGCGCGGGAAGGTGAGAGAATTCACCAGAGCCAGAGTGGGGAGCAGAACAGGCAGGCCGATGAAATACACTGCTGAGGGGAGCAGCGGGCACGCCAGGAGAGGTCTGTTGCGCCATGTGGGACCCTTGCCAGCGGCCGGGGATTGAACTGGCGCTGCGGAGGCTGCGGGCAGCTTCGCAGCCCAGCGCTCAACCGCTGCGCCACCAGGGGAGGCCCTAAATAAATAAATCTTTAAAAAAAAAATTTAAATTAGGGGGGAAAAAAAGAAAACTTTGGTCACTCCAAGATAAATCCGCCTCTGATTATACACATACGAATTTATTTACTGTCTATCTTATTCCACTACAACATAAGTTCCAAGTGGGCAAGGATCTTTATCTAAATTGTTAGCTCCTTGAACCGGCTTCCTGGCACGTCTAGGAGTTCGATAACTATTTGGTGAATGAACCAGTTGGGGCTGGTAGAATTTTCCAGGTAGACATGACAATGGCGCGTCACCCAGAGCTGGAGGAGTGAATGGGTTGGGATGATGTCACTGAAACCTCAGAACAGGGACTGTAACACCCATTTTCAAGATGAGGACGCCAAGGGCCAGGGAGGTGAAGCAAATGCTACTCAAAAGTGGCACAGGGCCTAGAACCGGCCTTCTCTCCCCTCCCCTCCCCACAGCTACCCTCCTCCCTCCCCTTCCTCCCTCCCCCCTTGCGTAAGGCCCCTGATGCAACCCTGTACTGGCCCAGGCCCCCCTCTTGGGGGCAGTGCTGGGAAAAAGTTTTTGCAAGAGCTGGGGCAGGAAGCACCCGCCTAGGTGGGTCCCGGGAAGATAAGGGTAGCCCGCCCCTGGTGCGCCTCCAGGCCTTCTGGTTTCCTCTCATCCCTTCCCTTTCCGGGAAAGCCGTGCTGCCCGGACCCCTGGCCTGGCCCTGACTCACTGCCTTTCTGCCTGCCAAACCTGGATCCCAGGCCTGCAAGATACTGGAAAGCCCTGCAGTGTGTGACCCTGGCCAGCAGGGAGCCTTCTCCTGCCTGCAGTTCCTGGAGTTCAGTAAAAGTAGCTCTCAGGAAGAAAAGTTATGTATGACCCAGCCTTAGTCTCTGAAGGCAAAATGTAGAGGGTTCCTTGGGCACCCTACCCCATCCCAGGAAGCCAACTTTGAAGTCTGGGTGTGACTCATATTGGCAGATGTAGGGTTGGTGTTTGTGTGTGAAGCACTCTTGACCCCTGTGCAGGCACAGTGTGTATCTGGAGGTCAGGGCCCTGTGACCCCTCCGCCCCCAAGATAGAGGCAGACATTTCCAGTTTGGATAGTCTCTACCTGGTTCAAGACTTGTGCTCAGCTGTGTGACCTTCCCTCAGGACCGAATCCCAGGGACCTGGCCAGGACAGCTTAGAGGTTGAGGGACCCAGTGCCACTTCTATGTTTTGAGGCCCTAGTTAGATTTTTTATTTTATTTATTTTTTCAAAGATTTATTTATTTATGCATAAAAGAACTGGGGTGTAGGCCAGAGGTGCAGGCTGTGTGTGTGAAAGGATTCACCAGAGACAGAGTGGGAGGCAGAACAGAGGATCTACTGAAATACACTGCTGAGGGGAGCAGCAGGCTAGACAGGAGAGGCCTGCTGCATCAAGGGGGTCAGCTCCCAAGCTGAGCATGGAACTCATGCTGCAGTGGCTGCCAATAGCTTCCTAGTGCTGAGGCTTTAACCCTTGCACCACCAGAGAGGCCTGTCTAGTTAGAATACTTTAAAACTAAGATTTGCTAAGATTTGGACTGCAAAAAGTGGTAAAGTAATTCCTGGTTTATGTGCTTAAAACAAAAATATATAATACCAGGTATGATTTAAATTAGAAATAAGATAAAAAGGCCCACCTGGGGGTCCTGGGGGACCGTGAATGCTCTGGTAAGTCTCCTTAGGGGCAGCCCAGTTTCCGGAAAGTCCTCTTAGGCAACATCCTCTAATGTTCTCTTTCCTCATCTAAAAAGTAGAAAGAGCAACCGGCCCACCTGATGAAAGGATTCCTTCAGTGAGTGCTCAAAACAATGGACACCTACACACACTAAGTGTCTGTGTGAGGCAGTCACTAGTGCTAAGCTTTTGCGACCATGGGACCCCCGAGGATGAAACTGGAACCCATTTTTCAGATGAGAAAACAGAGGCTCAGCTGAAATGAGGACATCAGGCTGAGTCCGAAGCTGTGTTCCCCCAGCCTTGCTACTAAAATGTTATCTTGTCGCTCCTGCTGTTTAACCGAGTGCACCATAACCGAGTGCACCACAATTGTGGGAAGGGTTAGATGCACGAACTGTCTAGCACGAAACAAGCCCTCTGTGAGTGTTCTTAAATAAACACTGCAAGCGTCGGGTCCACAGCCATGGAGAGGCTGGGTCCGATGGCCAGAAAACTTTCTCCTGATGTTTCTGTGCCTCAGCAGAGAGCCCTGTGGGAGGGGTTGAGGCTTTAATGATTTCCCAAAGAGGGTTGAAAGGAATAGGGTTTTGCGTGCCTGTCTACACACACACACACACACACACACACACACACACACACACACACACACACACACACACACACACACACACACACACACACTCTCTCTCTCTCTCAAGCCCCCCCCCTCCACCCCTCGGCCTCTGCCCCCCGCCCCCCTCCGAGGCCGGGAGTCTCTTATGCAAGCCGCCGGCGCCCGCCGGTTCCCAGGCCGGCTGCAGCTGCGGGCGGAGGGGCAGGGCGGGGGCGGCGCTGTTTGTCTAGCGCGGCCGTGCCAAAGGCGGCGGGCCCCAGACAGCCAGGCGCCTCCGTACACCTGGGGATGCTCAGGTTAAATAGCTCCGCATTCCTCGGGCCCAGCTGATGGAAACGCTCCCAGGCCGCCGCCGAGCCGGCCTCCAGATGGGCTGGGCCCGGGCCAAAGGGGAAAAGAGGGAAACGTGGAGTCCAGAGTGTGCCTAAATGGCGGGGGAGGTGGCCCGGCCCCGCACCGGCCCTTCCTCCCCGGGGAAAAGGCCCCGCGGGGCAGGAGTCCGCGCGGGACACGCCCCCGCCCCCGTGGGTGGGCTGGCCGGCGGGGGCGCGCGGGGCGGGAGGGGCGCACACGTGTGCCTCTGACGACACTTCAAGGACACACAGGCGACAATTAATAGTGCTAATTTATAGCTATCAAACGCTGCGTGCTAAGTGCTCCACCGCGCTATTCTCTACAACAATTATGTGGCGTTAATGCTATAAAACAGCAGCCGGGTGGGGAGTATCAAAGGACATAATTTACCTATAAATATTATGTTCTTTGATAAAGTTCATAATGTGTTTGGGGAGGGTCTGGTTCCTGGCTTGGTGCGCAATAGATGATAATCTTTAATTTTTTGTTGTTCATTCCCTCCGAGCCTCAGTTTCTTCTGTTGTAAACCCGGGATCAGAATCCTGCCCTGAACCCCAAGGCAATCCCTGAAATCCTTTATGTAGAGGGTTGAGCAGGGTCAGGCTGGTGGTACTAGGTGCTATTTATTTTTCTTTTATTTGTTGAAAGTGCATTAATAGTCCTTACCCTCTGCTGGCAAGTTCTTTGCCCTTCCTGGGACTCGGTTTCTCCAAGTTATATGCCAGAGCCAACCAGTAGGGCTACTTGAGGGCTAGTGACCCCAGGACCTGACAATTGCCCAGACGGCTGGTATTGAACTGTGAAGAGGATCTGCCTGAACAGCTGCCCTCTCCTCGACTCCAGACCAGGAATGCCAACCAATCTGCAGAACGATTACACACTTAGACCAGCCCAATGTGGTTCTGCAGCCCTGATACACAAGCCCATCCATCAAGCCAGACCCATGCAGAGATGTCCACCACATTCAGGCAGACACACAAGCCCAAACAGCTGGAGGCTGCACACTTATCTGCAGCACACATGTGCTCACATTTGCCTTTCTGCATACACCCCTGTGCATATCGTGCATATCCTCACCGACACACCCAAGTCTGTACACAGATGACCCAACCCCATTCGAGTTTGGGGGGCACTACCAGTTCACTCATGTCACATATACAGGCCCAGACCCACTTGCACCGCCCCCCCCCCCATGAGTGCAAACTCGCATGCCCAGGCAGATAGGTCTTCGCCAATGACACCTTTTTCCTGCTCAGGAGCTACAGACTGGCCCACGCCTCCGCAGAGCCCACACAGGAGCCCAGGGGGTAAGAGAGGTTAGTGTGAGCTGCTGGCATAGCCAAGCCAGGGGGAGGGGGCCGAATCCGGACCCAGAGCAGGTGGCCCGGCAGCTGTGCCCAGGCTGGCCCTGCCAACATGCTCACCCACTTGGACAAGCTGGGAGCCCCAGGGCAGCCTGCTGGGATCCAAGGTTAGGCTGGCCTATCAGGGAGACACCTCCTACTGGGGAATGGGGCGATATTAGCCCGGGCTCAAACTGCAGCTTTGGGCAAGCCCCTTTTCTCTGGGTCTCACTTCCCCCACCTCTCCGCAAAGATGCAGGTGGCCTAGTGACCTGCTTCTCCCACTTCAATGGTTTATTGAATAGTCCACCCAGAGGGGGCCGTGGCAGGTTGATCTGCATTTTAACAACCTCCCCAGGTGACCCAGATGGCCCCAGGACCACTTTAGGAAACCCTAGAGGTCTAGAGGATTAATTTTATGACTCTGGGGAGCAGGGAAATGGCCAGGGATGGGGAAAAGAATACTTTAAAGACACCGGAAACACTCATTTCAGGTCGGCAAAGTGACAGTCCAGATGTAACCCTCCCGTCCCCTTCCTTCCAGCACCAGCTGCGACAGAATGGGGGGGTGGTCACCCTCAGCCCAGCCCCCTCAATCCGAGAAGTCACTGCAACTTTACCACCATCTAAAGTATTTGTTTAATAACAACAACAAAAAAACCCCCCACAGAACTATTGTAAAACAATATTTTCAGTCGGTGATCATTGTAATATACAATACAAAGCAATTAATTTCCTCAGAAATCTGAGAAGCACCAAACGTGACCATTTTTTAAAATGTCTGCTTTTCAAAAAATAGAAACAAACGGGGGAAATACCCCCAAGTCTCTGGTGACTGATAGGTGTGGAGGTGGGTCGCCTGCCCAGTCAGTCCCCAGCGCCGGGCTGGATCCAGCAAGTCCGGGATGGCCTCGGATCTCAGTCCTGTTCCTCCCCGGCAACCTCGACGCGCCTGGAGGCTCAGAGAGCGCTTATTCCTGCCGGCCCCAGGAGGGCTGGGCTCCGCGGGTGCCAGGCGGGGGCACTTCAGCGACACAAGATGCGATCGTCCGCCGGAACACACGCCGCCTGTGAAAGCGAGAGCGGGAGAGGTGAGGCGTGAGCGGGGCTGAGACGGGGCCGCAAGCCCACCTCCCCCGAGAGGCACGAAGCGGGAGCGCTTTTCCCACCTCCCTGGGCATCACCGCCTAATCCCGAGCCCGAAAGGCTCGGGCGGACCTAGGGCCAAGCCCCCGCGCCCCCTCTAGGCCTCAGTTTCCCTACTTGGAGAAGGGAGCTCATCTCGTGCAGAGCTCGGACCTCACCTCGGCCGCCAGCGCGCTGATCTCGCCGTTGAGGGTGCTGAGCGGGGCCCGCGCGGGGAGCCCCCGGGCCCCGGGCGTTCCGACTTGGGATTCGGACCTCAGCTCCGACTCCAGGTCCCAGATGTAGTCGATGACGTGCTGCAGGATCTCCACCTTGCTCACCTTGCGGTTCTGGGGCAGGGTGGGCACCAGCTCCTTGAGGCGCGAGTAGCAGCCGTTCATGTCGTAGAGCAGAACGTTCACCTGCGGCTCGTCCAGCAGGGCGGGCAGGCGCGAACCCGCGCCCCCCGCGCAGCGCGAGATGGCCACGCTCTGCTCCGACAGGCAGCGCACCACCTCGCCCGCGCCGCCCGCGGCCTTGCCCGCCTTCAGGGAGCAGCTGGGGCCCGCGGCGGCCGCGGCGCTGCCACTGGCGACCTTCATGGTTTTCCCGCTGGGGTGAGAGAAGAGGCGACGCGGGCGGGCGGGGCCAGAGGACGCGCGGGGAGAGCTGCGGCGCTGGCAACACGCGAGGACAACTCCGGCGCCGGGGCCCTGCGGCCACTATTTATACAGACACTGCGGGGGCGGGGCCAGACGTTTAAAAGCGACCAATGGGCGGCAGGGAGGCGTGGCTTGAGCGCTTCTGCGTCCCGCCTCCTGCTCGGCGCTCACCCTCGCCTGCGGGGCAGGGAGGGAGACTCGGGGCTCCTGGGCCGAGAAGGAGGGAGGGCTCGGGGCCGGGCGGGGGGCCGAGGCGAGGGCTGCCTCGGGCTCCTCGGGAAGGAGGCTACACCGGTATTGCTCTTAGCGAAAAGACTTCAAAAATCAGTTTTCGGGCCTCCCTGGTGGTGCAAGGGGTTAAGACGCAACGTATGAAGCTAAGCACAGCCTCTGCAAGCACAAGTTCGATCCCCGGCTGGGGAGTAGCCCACGTGGCGCAGCAGACCTCTCCTGACTTGCCCGCTGCTCCCCTCAGCAGTGTATTTCAGTCAAACTGCCTGTTCTGTTCCCCACCCTGTCTATGGTGAATTTTCTCAGCCCCCTGCACCTCTGGCCTGTACCTCAGCTCTTGTATGCATAAAAATAAATAAGCAAATAAATAAATCTAAAAAGTCAGTTTTCCCAGGTTCGTTTTTTCCCACCTTCCCAGCCCCATTATTTACGGATGAGAGAAACTGAGGCCAGGATGGACAACTCAGTCCAGCACTGAACCCTAGTGGAAGATTATTTCTGGGGCCTTGTCCTGCCGAACACTTGGGCCGTAATTTAAAGCTGGCTTCCTTTATAGCTGTTCCCAGGGACCGTCTTCCTTTCCCAATTCCCAAAGAATGGTGCCAGTTAATGTTCCTGGGACCAGGGGGCCTTACTCGGACCTTCTGGGGGTGGGAGCAATTAGTTTGGGAAACCTTTGGGATCTGAACTGGAAAGACGGCGCCCAGATTCTACTTTGAATTTGCAGCCCCTGCAAAAATTCCCCCAAATCTGCATCAACTAGTGATTTAAAATGTTTTTCCTCTCCTTTTTTTTTCCCTCTCCCAAAGACCTCGGATCAGGGTCTCCCTCCCACGGCGCGGCAGCTGTGGAGCTCCAGGCTCCCCCCGCTTGTTCGCGGGCTGGTCTGTGTCAGCGTCTGAACAAGCGGCTCAGACCGTTAGACGCCAGGCCCGTGACGTCACCCATTCATAAAACCGGGACTGGCTGTCAGGCTGGCGCCGCGCGGGCGGTCGCCTTGGAGACGGCAAACCGGGCTGGCTCGCTAGCCTGCTACCTCCCGGCCAGCCAGTCACCTGCGGACCTCCGGCGGGAGGCCTGGGAATGCGCTCCTGGCTGGCGCGGTCGCTGGGCCGGGGTCACCTTACCTCCCCGCCCCGCACCTGGGAATCTCCCCCCCGGGGCCCACTCCTTGGGTCGCTTGGGAGGTTTCTTCAAACCCCCGTCCCCCACCTCTGCTCCCTCCCCCCACAAGCCTAGGGAAAGAGGCCCATGTTTCGAAGCTACTCAGCTGCTGGGTAAATGTAGTGGGCCCTTTTTGAGCTCTATCTGTCTGGTATTTAGATTAAAAAAAAAAAAAAGTGTGTGTGTGTGTGTGTGTGTGTGTGTGTGTATTTGTTGCCTTCTTCGCACCAGGCACTATGTGAAGTTTTTCTCTTATCTACTGTAATCCTCACCACGAATCTAAAAAGAGAGGCTATTTGGTTTCTTTATACAAAGGAGGAAACTGAGGCTCAAAAATCCTCCCAAGTTTGATGTGGGAGGGGACACAAAATAAAATCCTTCTAAGATTTATAGGTGGTGTAAGAGCAGCATTATTATAACAAGGGACTGTCGTGCAGTGCAGTCCCTTCCTGGGACCTCAGGCAGTGGTGCTCCAGTGTCCTGGGCAGATCACGGGCAGGGAACAGGCTTAGAACAGTCATCCCAGGCCACCGGTTTCAGCAGGAGTAAAGAATCTGCTCTCAGGAAAGGGTGATACTATGGTCCCTCACCCCAAACAATTCACGGGAAATCAGCAGGTTTCCCGTCCCGCAGAAGTTCGGGTTAGGAGACATTTAACCAGCCCTCTAGTTTCACATTAGAAAACCAGGAAAATGAATCAGCGAGACCAGGCTTCAAAGGAGACACATCAATTAACTGGACTCTTCATGGTTTTTCTACATCCCCCCTCCCAAACTCCTCAAACTCCCCAGGCCTTATTTAGCAATCCTCTAATGATTGGAGAGAACATTTTGCTGGGCAAAATAATTGCCAAAGAATTGAAAGGACAAAGACCAACCAGAGGAAATTAGAATATTAATTCATTACTGAATGTTTTTAATTGACACAGCAATTTGACTTGTGTAAATCAACTCCAGAGAAATCTACAGACACAAATCCAAAGATTTCTGCTCAGCGGATGTTCACTGAAGAACTACTTTAACAAAAGGGAAACTGATAACCTAATTGCCCATCAACAGTGACATTACATAAACTGTGCCTGGAAGGCACATCAGCCTGTGGCAGGTAGAAAGGGTGTCTCTGAGAGATACCCAAATCCTACTGTGAGCGAAGAAAGCCTAAGTGACTTAGACTGGGGGTCAAGGCAGAAAATATACCACTTCTGAGTGCACATGTATTTGGAAAGGATTTTATTTTTTTTTTTTATTTTTTTTTTTTTAATAGAGGCATGCTTTATTTATTTATTTATTTGTTTGTTTGTTTTGTTTATACATGCACTGGGTACAGTCAGAAGCGCGGGAGGGTGAGAGAATTCACCAGAGCCAGAGCGGGGAGCAGAGCAGGCAGAAGGGCCGAAGTACACTGCTGAGGGGAGCAGCGGGCGGCAGGAGAGGTCTGCGCGCCATGTGGGACCCTCCTCCAGTGGCCGGGGAGCAGCCGGGGATCGAACCGGCGCCACAGAGGCTGCGGGCAGCTTCGCAACCCAGTGCTCAACCGCTGCGCCACCGCGGAGGCCCTGGAAAGGATTTTAAAGCAAGAGAGGAGGGCCTCCCTGGTGGCCCAAGGTTAAAGACACAGCGCTGTCAAGTTATCACCAGCCACTGCTGCATGAGTTCCAATCCCCAGCCAAGGAGCTGAACCACATGGTGAGGCAGACCTCTCTTGTCTCGCCCCGCTGCTCCCCTCAGCAGTGTACTTTGTCAATCTGCCTGTTCTGTTCCCCACTCTGTCTCTGGTGAATCCTTCCCCCCCCGCCCCCCCCCCCCGCATCTCTGGCCTGTACCCAGGCTCTTGTATGCATAAATAAATAAATCTTAAAAAAAATACATGCAACATATTATGTATAGTAGAATATATATTATATATTATGTACAGTAGAATATACATTTTATATATATGTATACAGCCAGCATATAGTCTATTTGGTTTCTTTTTTCAGTCAAATTTCTTTAACTCAGAATAATTATTTTGTGATTTACTCATATTCTTTCTTTCTTACTGCTGAGGTTGTTCATAGTCTTTGATGAGAACAAATAAAGCTGCTATGAACACTTGCATAGATGTGTTAATATGAATTATGCTTTCACTTCTCTTAGATAAATACTGACTAGTGAAATGATCATGTTAGGGGGAAAAGGATGTCCCAAAGCTAATTCCATACAGGCTTTGTGGACTCCACCCCCACCCCAGGTCAAAGCCAGAGACACTGGGAACTCCAAATCCCATCACCACCAAAGGGAAGGTGGCTGGGACCTGAGGGTGGGGTTAAGCAGTCAGGTGGATATAAAAGGCAGACACATGGGCTTTGGGGATCCCCCATTTTTGGCTCTCCGCCAGCTCGCAGCGTCCGGCCAGCTCTGAGAGTGACTTTGGGTTTCCAGGTCGTCGGATCGGGTAGGACGCATTAAAGACTTTATTTCCCTATTTTCTCCCTGAGTTGTACATTTTCCTTATCTTGTAAATAAACCTTTTATTAACCTTTTGTGTGTGTCTGTAGTAGAGTATTCATAAGTCCTTTTAAAGCGTGCGGGTGAGGACCCACAGCCAGGAACCCGTTTAATATCGGGGTTGCTCTATAACAATCAGATCACTAGTAAGTTTTTATTTAGTTTTATAAAAACTGCTAAGTTCCTTTCCACAGTGGTTTTCCCCTTTTTCATTCCTATCAGAGGTGTGGAGACTTCCAGTTCCTCCAGCTTCATCCTGACAGTGGGGGCATTTGGCTCTTCTGATGTCTTGTGGCGAGATCACTGGGGTTTTAATTTCTATCTTCCTAATGATGAGACGTGTGGAGCCTCCTGCCATGTGTTTATATGCTCTCCATGGATTGTCTTTGGTGAAGTGACATTCATTTCTTTTGCTCATTAGAAAAAATAGTTTTAGACAATTGTTGATTCCTATGCAGTCACAAGAAACAATAGAGAACAATCCCTTATATCCTTCACCCTGCATCCCCATGGTAGCACATTACCTAGCAAGGGTAACGTTGTACAAAATCAGAACTTGATTTTACCTGATTTCTGGTGACATGCAGGTTTTGCCAGATTTACATGCACTAGTTTGTGTTCATTCTGTGCAATTTTATCACATGTGTAGTGTCACGTGGCCACCAGCAGGGCAAAGACAGAGACAGTCTCTTCACAAGGATCCTTCTGCTACCCTTTCATCTTTTGCCCATTTCTTTTAATTTGTTTGTTTTTTATTATTATTATTGAGTTTTGAGAGTTCTTTATATATTTTGAATACAAACCCTTTATCTGATGTATGGTTTACAGATATTTTCTCCAGGCTGTGTCTAGTCTTTTTATCCTCTTATCAGTGTCTTTTGAAGAGAAGTATTACATTTTGATGAAGTCCAATTTATCAGGTTTCTTTTTTATTTCAAAGATCATGTTTTTCTTGTCACAGCTAAGAAATTTCTACTTAATTCCAAATCACAAAGACTATGTCATATATTTTCCAGTTTCATAGCTTCGGGTTTTACATTTAGGGCTATGATCCATTACACATAGGTACTTCTTGAATATATTTTCAAACAGAAATATATTCATGTAATAGTTTGTGTAATAAAAAGTCAGCTCCAAATATTTA